ATCACACAGACACAATTCTTCACGCTTCGCGTATCCCCACCAGCCCATCTCAAAACAGCAACTCTTGCGAAGCATACCGACAGTCGTGTTTTTCAGGCGTGTGTCCGCTTGCCCCCGCATATCTCCCCTGTTCCTCCTTCCTCCCGCCTCCTTGTACATCCTCCTTGTGGTGGGAGCGGGAGAAGGACGAGGCGGAGGAGGAGGGAGAGAAAGCGGTGGGAGGCAAGAGGGATTTAGCGGAGACGACGACCACAGCGATGATCCTAACAACGACGACGCACCCGACGACGACGACGATATCGACCGCAACGACGACGACGACCACAACGCGACGACGACGACGACGACGTCGACGACGACGACGACGAAGGCGGCGGCGACGACGACGACGACGACGACGACGACGACGACGACGACTGGTGGGAGTCGTTGGGGCCCCTCGTGGTGTGAGTCGTTCGGCCCCATCGTCCTTGTGTGAGTCCTTCGGGTCCCTCTTCCTGGTGTGAGTCGTTCGGGCTCCTCGTGGTGTGAGTCGTTCGGGCCCCTCGTCCTGGTGTGAGCCGTTCGGGCTTCTCATGGTTCGAGTCGTTCGGGCCTCTCGTCCTGGTGTGAGTCGTTCGGGCCCTTCTTCCTGGTGTGAGTCGTTCGGGCTCTTCGTGGTGTGAGTCGTTCGGGCTCTTCGTCCTGGTGTGAGTCGTTCGGGCTTCTCGTGGTGTGAGTTGTTCGGGCCCCTCGTCCTGGTGTGAGTCGTTCGGGCCCCTCCTCCTGGTGTGAGTCGTTCGGGCTCCTCGTGGTGTGAGTCGTTCGGGGCCCTCGTCCTGGTGTGAGTCGTTCGGGCTCCTCGTGGTGTGAGTCGTTCGGGCGCCTCGTCCTGGTGTGAGTCGTTCGGGCCCCTCCTCCTGGTGTGAGTCGTTCGGGCTCTTCGTGGTGTGAGTCGTTCGGGCCCCTCGTCCTGGTGTGAGTCGCTCGGGCGTAGTAGTAGTAGTAGTAGTAGTAGTAGTAGTAGTAGTAGTAGTAGTAGTAGTAGTAGTAGTAGTAATAGTAGTAGTAGTAGTAGTAGATGATGTAGTAGTAGTAGTAGTAGTAGTAGTAGTCGTCGTCGTCGTCGTCGTCGTCGTCGTCGTCGTCGTCGTCGTCGTCGTCGTCGTAGTAGTAGTAGCGTGTAGTAGTAGTAGTAGTAAGTAGTAGTAGTAGTAGTAGTAGTAGTAGTAGTAGTAGTAGTAGTAGTAGTAGTAGTAGTAGTAGTAGTAGTAGTAGTAGTAGTGTAGTAGTAGTAGTAGTAGTAGGTAGTAGTAGTAGTAGTAGTAGTAGTAGTAGTAGTAGTAGTAGTAGTAGTAGTAGTAGTAGTAGTAGTAGTAGTAGTAGTAGTAGTAGTAGTAGTAGTAGTAGTAGTAGTAGTAGTAGTAGTAGTAGTAGTTAGTAGTAGTAGTAGTAGTAGTAGTAGTAGTAGTAGTAGTAGTAGTTAGTAGTAGTAGATGTCTTTTGGGAGCCTCTTGGAGGCCTTTTGGGGCGTCTTCGGGGCCTCTTGGCGGCCCCAGGGGCTTCTAGGAGCGTCTTGGGTGCCTTGGGGGAGCCTCTTCGGGCCTCTTGGGAGCCTCTTGGAGGCCGTTTGGGGCGTCTTGGGGGCCTCTTGGCGGCTCCAGGGGCTTCCAGGAGCGTCTTGGGTGCCTCGGGGGAGCCTCTTGGGGCCTCTTGGGGGCCTCTTGGGGGCATCTTGGGGGCCTCTTGGAGGCCTCTTGGGGCCTCTTGGGGCTCTTTGGGAGGGGTCTGGGAGGAATCTTGGGGCCATCTGTCGGGCGATCGATCACAGATGGGGCGAGCATTTTTCTCCCTCCCCCCGTCGGGGCCAGAATCCTCGTGAGGGGTGTCGAATTTTAGCCCTCCCAGGAGTCGAAAAAGACCCCTCCAACGACCCGCGGAACGCCCTCTCCAGGCCCAGGGGGAGGGGGTAGGGGGAGGGGTAAACCCCTGCCCGAAAGGGAAGAAGGGGGTTGAGAACAGAGCGGGCTCCCTAAACCACTCACGCCCAAAGGGCTGGTGGGATTAATTGGAACATATGGGAAAATATGGGGAAGGGGGGGTGGGAAGACGAAAACCCCAAACATACGGTAACATATGGGGAATGTGTTTATATGTGTTTATTTATTTGTGTGTCCTTGGGCCCCTTCATTCATGTTTCTGCCCAGCTCTTCCGAACGACGGGTATCTGCTCGCTTTGATCGCGCACTCGTACTCGCTCTCGGTCCTCCTCCGCATGCTCTGCCGGCCGAAGCCGGTGGTGCTTGCGCCATGCCGCGCCGCACTTGCCGCAGCGCCGCGTTGCTTTGAGGTCGCAATCCCAGGGGTCCGACGATGTGGTTTTTGCCAGTGCGTGGCCCAGGGGTCCCGACCCCTTCCCAGGGGGTCGTGTTTCGTCCCAAATCCGTTTCGGATGGGCCCAGGGCCCGCTGACGTGCCCCCATCGGTCGAGATCGAGTACAGCCGCCGCGATTAGAAAGAGACACATCGTCAGAGGTCTGGGATTGCTGCACCTCCGCGCCACCCAGAAGTTGGACTCGCCGTGGGGGGAACGGATCCCGAGGGACGCGGGTCCTGAGGTTGCTCGCCGCTCTCGGGCGCCCGGGGCCCTCCACGGGCCCCGGGAGTGCCAGAAGACGACCCAGGAGGTTTCGCTTGTCTTTGGGGGGAGGCCCCAGGCCGTTTCCCTCAGGGCCCGCTTCCCCCTCCCCCCCCCCCCCTCCTCTTCTTCGTCCTCCTCCATGCTAGATGGACCGGGCGTTGTGGATGCCACGACAATGGACACCCTGACAGTCCTATCATTGAATGTCAAGTGTGTTTAAGATGTAGGAAACACATGTTCTAAGCATGTTCTGAACGTGCTTCATACACGCCTATGACATGTTTTAGACATCTGGAGATTATTTGGCAAACAGGTACCTCGCCATTGGTCGTCCTCCACAGACCGAGCGACGACGGGCCCAGCCCGCGCCGCGCCCCTCGGACGGCCACGGGGGCGCGCTGCGGCCAGGACTTCGAGGCGGATCTGGCCGCGGCGACGAGAGGCCCGAGGGAGGGTCCACGGAGGCCAGCAGCACACCCATCCAGACGCCTCGATCCTCGAACCTCGATTACCGTCTATCTCTCTCTATATTTTATTATTATTATTTTTTTTTCTCTCTCTCTCTCTCTCTATCTCTCCCCCTTCTTCTCGGTCTCTCCGCTCCGCATATAGAAAGAAGCATGTAAACACATTGAGACCCACGAACATTCTGCGTTTGTGTCGCGGAGTCGACGACACTTTCACTTCGGGGTGAGCCAACTCTGCAGTGGATCTACACCCCACAGTTCTTTTGGCAAGAGTAAGCTGCGAGAAGACGCATGAGAGAAGGCGTCATGGTGGGCGTCGGTCATGCGCAGAAGCGGGGTCGGGGGAGGGGGAAGGCTTCTCAAAAGCACCCCTGTTTCTTAGAAGGCGCGGGCCTTGTCTGTAGATGTAAGGCTGGTGCCGTCTAAGAAGCCGCCTCCTAAGAAGCCTTCCCCCTTCCTATACCCCTGTGTGCCTGCCGCCAAACTCCCCCCCCCTTGGATGAGGCCGCCCTCGCTCATCAGGGGCGATGTCGGGCAGGCTGGACATATATGCCGCACCTTGCGAGCTCCAAGGCAAGCTCCGTCAGCGCTGGACTGTTGAAACAAGGGAGACGAGTCGAGTCGAGGATGTCCTAAACCACGGGTGGGTCGGTACAGCCAAGATAGAAGTAGCGCAAACATGTTATATATATATATATATATGTATATATATATATATATATATATCGGTGCACGCCAAGTATTTGCTGGTGTGTTCTCTGCCAGCAGCTGCCAGTGGAGTTTGCGCACTAAAGAAACGGGTCGAACAACAGACACGCATAAACATAATGTGTCGCACATCCGCGCGGATTTCTTGGATCTGCGCTGGACCCCCCTGGCGGCGCCTCTAGCGCCACCCCTGGCGCCCTCCGCGCGCCAGGAGGCAGGAGTCCAGCGCCGATGATCCGCGCGAGTCTCCGAAAGATTACGTGCTTGCGAGTTGTGTTCATCTGAGAGCCGGCGGAGGCAAACTGCAGGAAGGGATCAGGAGTGCTGCAAGAGGGTGATCGTGCGGTCCAAGGGCGCCCTCGAGGGCGCGAAGTTATTCGCGCCTCGCGCCTCGCGGTTCGGCTCCGATTCCTCCTCATCCTCCTCTTCTCCCCTGGGAGGCGGCGCGAGAGCGCGAGGTTGTTCGCACTTCGCGCTCCGCGCAGCGCGAAGCGCGAAACTGGGAGCCCTTGGCGATCGAACGTCCGAAGGAGCTCCCGCAGGCGTGCCGGGCCGGGCCGTGCCCGCGTGCCGTGCCCCGCCCTCGTTCGAGCGTGGCGGAACATCTGCCGCCCGCGCGCCGCTGTCTCTCCCCCGGGAGCAATGGCTCCCGCGAGGGCGCGAAGTTGTTCGCGCTTCGCGGTCCTCGTTCCTTCTCTCCCTCGTCCTCGTCCTCCTCGTCCTTCTCTCCCTCCTCCTCGTCCTCGTCCTCCTCGTCCCCCTGGAGCTGCCCTGCTCCCCCCGCGCACGGAGAGGAGGTCGGGGGCGGAAAAGAGGGGGGTGATGACTAGGGGGGGGGGGTGGATATCATGGCGGGGGCCATGATATCTCCCCAGATTTCATGGCGCCTCTTCTTATTTCATTGCGTCCCTGGCCCCCCCGCTGGGCCGCGCACATGCCGCCGGTCATGATTTGCACCCCCCTCTTTCGGGCAAAGGGAACTATGCACATGCACCGATCCTGGCAAGGCCCATCCTTGACCCAGGATCGGTGCATATGCCTTCCTGGCCAAGGTAGGAGGGCGTATGCACCGATCCTGGGCTCAGGATGGGCCTGGCCAGAATCGGTGTATGTGCATAGCTCTTTTTCCTCTACTCTTGGACACCCCCCTCGTGGCCGCTCCCGAGGAGGGCGTGGCCAGACAAAGGGGGGCGCGCGGTGCCGAGGCTACTACTGGGGCCGCGCCCCGACGGAGGAGGGCTCCAGGCTGTGGATCGTCTACCTCGAGGCGCCTTTGTCGCACGGGGCCCATCCATCCCGCGGGGCTGCCTTCCTGGCGGCGAGCGAGGGGGGGAAGTTTGGGGAGTTTCGGGTTCGAGGTTCGAGGTTCGAGGGCGGTTTCAGCGCTTCTCGGCTGTTTTCCCGCCTCGGGACGTGCTCCAGCGGCTGCGCCTCGCGTGCCCGGATCGCCCCGAACGGCCACCGGAGAGCCGAGTTACGACCGAAGATCCACCAGGCGTCTGGGCGGGTTTTGTCAGAAGGCTCGGCAGTTTTCCAGCTTTCTGAGAAGTTTTCGAAGCCTTCCCCGAAGAGGCACAGAAGACTTCTCAGAAGGCGCGAGGGCTTTGAGAAGCCCCGCCGTCTTCTGAGAAGGCCTTCTCCTTCTCATTTCATCCCCTCGCTCGCCGCCGCCGACCTTCGTCTCTGAGGAGGGCAGCGTACCAATACTGCTAGCCTTGATTCGTGTGCGCCTTTTTGGGTCTCCTGACGCACTCCAGGAGACGTCCGGGGAGTAGCGGCGTCGCTGCCCGATGGCTTCACCATCATCACCCTCGCTCACTCGCCCGAGCAGGGACACGCATCCTTGAGGAGTGGATGGGCTGCTGCTCGCGTCCCTCTCCGTGTTGCTAGCTAAGGCCTTACGGGTCCGGTGCCGCCGACCTTGGAGGCCTCGGCCCTCGACGGAAATGGGAGGGAGAGGACGGGCCATGAGCCCCGGAAGGGTGGCATTCTGACCCGGGACCACCCCTCGGGGCTCCCCCCCAGGCTCCCCGCCCCCATGGGAGGGAGAGGGCGGGCCATGGGACCCGGGAGGGTGGCATTCTGACCCGGGACCACCCCCCCAGACCACCCCCTGAGACCCCCCCCGGGACCCTTCCCCGCGGGGAAGGGATCAGAGGATGGGGCTCCCCTTCGGCTCAGTGACACAGTTGCTGCCGAACTTCGCTGTGGATGGGCTGGTGTATTTGGCTCTGGGTGGCGTGCTTGAGGACGAGGGCCCAAGGAAAGGGGGGGGAGCGGCGATGGACTCGGGGGAAAGAGGGGACGTGATGGCGGCGGCGACGCGATGGCGGCAGCGACGGCGATGGCGACGCAACAGCCCCTTGTCACACGCCGACAGGTCTGCTGGTCGCGTCTCTCTCTCCTTACAGTCGGGGCGCTGAAGAAGGAACCCTTTTTGTTTGGGAGGGGCTCAGTGGCTCAGTTTTCCTTAGTTGTTCTACAGTTCGCCTTTGGTATGCCTTTGGCTTTCGATGTGAAACCTAAGCTTAACTCATGGATTAGAGGCGCCTCGTTCCTTATTTGGGGTTCCCTAGGTCAACGCCCCAACTGTACGTATTTGTCCTACTCTTCCCCGCTCTGCTCCTCCCTTTCGGCGGAGGCACGTGCAAAGTTTCCTTCATCCTTCGTCCTCCAACGGTTTTGCACAGCTCTCCAGGACGCCAACCACTGCGACGTCTCGCGTCTCGGGGGGCTCCCTGCCCCACAAGGCCCCCTCGTCGGGCTGCTGCGGCGATCGCGGCGATCGCGGGCCACCGTGTTCTGTTCACGGGCTTGTTGTTGCCTTGTTGCCAGTGCTCGCAGACATGCCGCCAGTCTCGCACGCTGCTGCGGCGCCTGCAGGGTCCGGTGGGCTGTTGCGCGCACGTGTGGCGCTCCCAGGCTAATTTGCGGTCCAGGCAGGGTCTGGTTTCGCTCGCCATCTGATCGTCGTGACGGCACTGCGGAGTTCACTGGCAGGTTGCGGTGTTCGCAGGCTATTGGGGTGCTCACGAGGAAATCGTTGCGTTCGCAGCCGTATTGCGGCGCTCGCAGGGTATGTTGGTACTCGCAGGGTCCACAATGTTTTTGTGCGCATGTTTGCGGTACCAGTGTGGCGCTCGCATACTACTCCAGAGTGTACTCGCGGGTTGCTCTGCTCGCATTCTCAGAGTCTGCCATACGGATGCGCACTATGTGCCGCTCGCAAGATTTGTGTGGCTCTGGCAGGGTATGCATTCCCCCTCTCCTAGTCGTCCAGCGGTCGCAGTCACCCGTGGTGCTCGCAGAAGCATTGTGTGGTTCTCACGGGCGTTACGACCAAATTTTGCTGAAAGGCCACGTTCGGACGTTGCGTTATGCACCCCGTAACGTCGGGTACAGTCGGGGCGCTGAAGAAGGAACCCTGCTCGTCTGGGAGGGGCTCAGTGTTCCTTAGCTGTTTTGCACTTTGCCGAAGGTTTTCCTTAATTCTTCGATGGGAAGGCGAAGCTTAACTTATGGAAGAAGGGGCCTCGTTCCTTATTTAGGGTTCCTTAGGTCAACGCCCCGACTGTATGGTCACGAAGAATACAATGCTCTCGTGGAGCTCTCGCCCACGACGGAGGCCAGCAGAAGACCAGCGAGAGCTGGTGGAAGTAAAGCGACGGCGGTGTGGTCAGCGGAAGCGTCCAGAAGCTTGTCGGAAGAGGGTGGAACCAAGATTGGCCTTCAAGAGAGGTTACAGTCGGCACCCCAATCCCAAATCTTCAGAATCGGTCACAGATGTCGCAAGATGCAAATCCACTACCTTGACCTTCGATGGTGTGACTTATTCGATGCATGTGTCCCCGGAGCTCTCCACCCTTCCCCGGTACAAGTTTCTCGCCCCCAGCAGGTCTTTGATTATCCAGGGACTTGTGCCCCCTTGATGCAGCACACGCAAGCGTACCTCACGCGATCCGGATCTTTGAGATTTCGGTGGTATCCCCGCATTGTGATCATTATGGGATTTGATGTGTGTGCGTCTTTTCTAAAGATGTTGGGCCAATATGCGCGGGCGTGGTTCTACTGGTTGATGTCGTATGATATATGGGGGTCAAGGCGGCCACCGACGATACAGGTCCTTGCCTAAACCGACACGGTCCAAGGTTACGGCGATTCCCCAGTGTCTTGGTCAGAAACATGACCACCTCGCTGCTAGCAGTAATCCAACCGCAAGTGGGAAGCAAGGCCAGCGCAGAGTTCATCACAGCCCTGTTCGTTCCCTCTGGCTCAGTGTCAATCGCCACGCTGGTTGAGCAAGCCAGCATAGTCGGTGGCAGCGTGTGTTGCGCTGTTACTTTGTATTCGTCACGATTGATGGCGTACTCGTCGCACTGATCGTTGGTATTCCCCCCTCCTGCCCCACGGCCACCTCCTGCTAAACATCGCAAAGCGGAGGCAAACATTTCAAGACAGGTATGGCGCATACCGTCTGCATCTTAGTGTTGGTTCTTTGCTCCAGCACTGTTGCCGCAAATGGTAAGCTCAAGTAAGAACGGAAGACTTACACTGACACTTTACACACCAGGAGCGGGAGGGATCAAACTGAAGGACCCATAATGAAAGAAACAAGTCTTGACATTGGTTGGTAAAGGTCACGGTTGCTTGAATTTCGGTCCTCTGGGGTCTTCTCCTCCTCTCCTCCCCCTCCTCCATTCGGCCATATTCAGTCACAGTTCTACTGTATGCGCGTCGGCTGCATAGGCCGACGCCCACACTGAAACATCGTATTGTAGAAGCTTCCGTGGCGGACGCTTTCTGACCATGCCGCTTGGACAATATTGTTCTACGATTTGCTCGGGTCGAACGTGCGCATCCAAGGCGGCCACACAGTACTAGCATGTCCTTCTGCCTCCCTTCCACCCCATGCCTTGCCCTTCCGTCCTCTCAATCCTGCTCCTCTCCATTCAACTCCCCCCCCACCCTGCACCCCCCCCCTCCCCTGCCCTCGTCTTCATCGTCCTGGTCTTCGTCGTAGTCGCTGTCGCCTTCGTCGACATCGTCGCCGCCGTCGCCGTAAACGCGATCGTCGTGTTCGTCGGCGCCGACGTCTCCGCCGCCGTCGTCACCGTCGCCGCCGTCTCCGTCTGACCGACATTCGCTCAAGATCGGCCCCAGACCCGGGCGCTCACGGCCATCCGGGGCGACGAGAGCTTCCAGATACTCAGCTGCTCTGGTACGCCCGTTTTGAAACGCAACGCGTGCCGTGTTCAAAACGTCAGTGTTTTGCACGCTGCGTGTTGGCTCGACGTGTTGGCCTGCGTTTTGGCGAACGCATCGCGCCAAACGCACGTCCTCAACCTCCGTGTTGAGCTTGGTGTCAACGCGCTGCGGGTTGCGTCTTGCGCATCGGGCGGCTAGGTCCAGAGACGACCAAGAAGCCCCCAAGACGACAGCGTCGCCGCCGTCGCCGCCGCCGCCGTCGGTTGCCGCCCCTCCTCCAGGGCGGCGGCTGGTGCTACGACGCCGGCAGCTGCGGACGGCGCTGCCCCAAGGGCACGGCGTCGCCGCTGTGCAACTCGAAGGGGTGGGCCTCACGGTGCAGGGCTCGGTCTCGGCCTTTCTCGGAGCGTAGGGGGGCAGTGAGAAGGAGAATGCTTTCTCGGAAGGCTCGGGAGTCCTCCAGCCTTCTGAGAAGGCGGGGCTGCCTTCCTGGCGGCGAGCGAGGGGGGGAAGTTCTGGGAGTTTCGGGCTCGAGGTGCGAGGCTCGAGGGCGGTTTCGGCGCTTCTCGGCGGTATTCCAGCCTCGGGATGCGCTCCAGCGGCTGCGCCTCGCCGAGGGCGTTCCAGGGGTGCCCGGAGCGCCCCGAACGGCCACTGGACACATGAGTTATGGCTGAAAATCCACCAGGCGTCCGGGCGGGTTTTGTCAGAAGGTTCGAGGGCGGTTTCGGCGCTTCTCGGCTGTTTTCCCGCCTCGGGACGTGCTCCAGCGGCTGCGCCTCGCCGAGAGCGTTGCGGGGGTGCCCGGATCGCCCCGAACGGCCACCGGAGAGCCGAGTTACGACCGAAAATCCACCAGGCGTCCGGGCGGGTTTTGTCAGAAGGCTCGGAAGTCTTCCAGCCTTCTGAGAAGTTTTCGAAGCCTTTTCCCGAAGAGGCACAGGAGACTTCTCAGAAGGCGCGAGGGCTTCTGAGAAGCTCCGCCGCCTTCTGAGAAGACCTTCTCCTTCTCACATCCTCCCCCTCTCGCTCGCCGCCGACCTTCATCTCTGAGGAGGACAACATACCGATACCGCTATGCGCTCCAGCGGCTGCGCCTCGCCGAGGGCGTTACGGGGGTGCCTGGATCGCCCCGAAAGGCCACCGCAGAGCCGAGTTATGACCGAAAAACCACCTGTCGTCTGAGAGAGGGCGGGCCTCGTCAGGAGGCTCCGAAGTCCCCCGGCCTTCCGCGAAGTTTCCGAAGTCTTCCCCGAAGACAGAAGAGGTCTCAGAGGACGCGAGGCCTTCTGAGAAGTCCCGCCGCCTTCCGAGAAGACACTCTCCTCCCCCCTCGCTCGCCGCCGATGGTTCTAATGCTTCCGATAGTTCTTCGCACGCACGACACGAAGACGAAACCGAACTCCCGCATTCCCGGAGGGGGACATTCTGTTTCACTGCGATCTCATCCCCTCACCTCCGATGTATCCATGCCTGTGCGCCCCTTCTCTCGCTGTCTCATCACCGTCCCTCCCTCTCTTTTTCCCTCCAGTGGGGGCGCGCATCAAGAAACCATGTGCTTCCTGTCAGGGCGTCCTCGGTTCCTTTGCTCCTCGCGCTGCGCGGTGACTTCCCGCGGCCGTTGAGGGAGCTGCTGCGTTCGGGGTGCTCCGGGTCTCCCGTCCAGTGCACCTCGCGCGCGGGGTTCTCAGGGTTGGGTTTTTTGCAAGGGTTTCTTGCGGCCGCTGGTTTCTTGCGAGGGTTTCTTGCGAGGGTTGGGTTTCTTACTGCATCCCTCTTCTGCAGATCAATGGCCGTACTGGCTCAGACCGCTCGGCCCGCGGGGGCCCTGCCCCGTCGCCTCCGCGCACCTCTGCCCGAGCGAGGCTCGCGGCTGTGCAGGCCGAGCCCTCGGGTGGGCCTCCCTCCGCCGCCGCCGTCGTCCGTCGTCGTCGTCGTTGTAGGTCGTCACTGCCGTCGACGACGACCCCCAGATCGAGTCGGATCAGCCGGGGTCCCTCGATCGCGCTGTCCTCCCCCCCCCATCCTCCTCCTCATCCTTCTCCTCCTCCGGCCCCGTCTCCTCCACCTTCTCCTCCGCCCTCCCCTCCTCCGCCCCGTATCCTCTTCTCGCCCTCGTCGCTGATGTGGCACTTCTCGAGCAGGAGCGAAGAGCGAGGCTTCTGGGGCCCGACATCGGGCGGAGCGGCTCCCCGCCATCTTCTGACGACGCCTGGACCCGAGGCCTCCAGCTACCTCCACAGATCCAACAGAAGGATACAGAACAGAACGGCAGACAGACTGCCTCAAAAGACCGTCGGTATGGCCTCGATCAGTGCAGCTTGCGAGCAGGAGATCGACCACAAAATCGATTCATCCCTGAATGTTACCTAACAGCGAAGACTGATAGGCTTCTAGTGGGGTCAAAAGAGAGCATCTTGACTCCCTGGGGGTCTGGGCGGATGCCGGGGGAGTCCGGGGAATCCGGGGACTCCCCAGGACTCATAGATTCTTATAGTTTCCTATGGATTCCTACAGATTCTGTTCCCAGAATACCATTCCCAGGCCACATTTTGAATGCCCGAAGCCAACTGTAGGCCACTTCGTGTTCTTCGTCTTCCCAGAACACCATTCCCAGGACACATTTTGAATGCCCGGAGCCAACTGTAGGCCACTTCGTGTTCTTCGTGTTCCCAGAACACCATTCCCAGGCCACATTTTGAATGCCCGGAGCCAACTGTAGGCCCTTTCGTGTTTTTCGTGTTCCCAGAACACCAGTCCTGTACCATATTTTGATCCGTAAGGGCTTCGCCCCCTGCCGCCGGCTCCCTCTCTCGGAGAATGGGCCATGGAAGAGCTAAGTCATGAGGCTTTGGCGCTGTCGTGCAGCAGTATCGGAACTTCATGCGACGCCGATTCGCAATCGGCAAAACCATCTGATCACAAGAGGGGTTACCACACAGGGCGATTGGTAAGACGTGTATGGTTTACGAGCTTGGTTACCACACCTTGGGATTAAAGGGCCGAGGGAGTACTCGCAGTTTGGGTTACCACGCCTTGCGATGGATGTGCGTGAGGGGTGGCACCGAATTTCAGAAATGTGGCAAATCCCCTGTGTTTTTGGACCCTGACCCCGCGGATCTGCGTGAGGGGTGGCACCGAATTTCAGAAATGTGGCAAATCCCCTGTGTTTTTGGACCCTGACCCCGCGGATCTGCGTGAGGGGTGGCACCGAATTTCAGAAATGTGGCAAATCCCCTGTGTTTTTGGACCCTGACCCCGCGGATCTGCGTGAGGGGTGTCGATTTCGAGCCCCCCCAGCAATTCAGACAACGCGCCCAGGTAGGTGGTGCTAAAAATCTGGTTTGGGCCTCCCTCCCCTCGCGCGGTCAATCAACTAGTGACAGTAACCAGCAAGAAGCAGAACTGTAACACTGCAAAACTACAAACTACAACTGGTACAGGAAACTGCGAATCACGGGCCTACAGCCTGGTGGCCCCACAAGGGGGCCGGCGGATTGCCCAGAGCCAATTGTGGGCCACTTCGTGATCTTCGTGTTCCCAGAACACCAGTCCTGTGCCATATTTTGAGCTGAGGCAGGCTGAGGCTGAGGCAGGCTGAGGCCGAGGCAGGCTGAGGCCGAGGCAGGCTGAGGCCGAGGCAGGCTGAGGCTGAGGCTGAAGCACGCCGAGGCAGGCTGAGGCTGAGGCTGGGGCAGGCTGAGGCTGGGGCAGGCTGAGGCTGAGGCAGGCTGAGGCTGAGGCTGACGCAAGCTGAGGCCGAGGCAGGCTGAGGCTGAGACTGAGGCAGGCTGAGGCTGAGGCAGGCTGAGGCTGAGGCTGAGGCTGAGGCTGAGGCTGAGGCTGAGGCTGAAGCTGAGGGCTGAGGCTGAGGCTGAGAGGCTGAGGCTGAGGCAGGGCTGAGGCTGAGGCTGAGGCTGAGGCAGGCTGAGGCTGAGGCTGAGCTGAGGCTGAGGCTGAGGCCGAGGCAGGCTGAGGCCGAGGCAAGCCGAGGCAGGCTGAGGCTGAGGCTGAGGCTGATGCTGAGGCAGGCTGAGGCTGAGACAGGCTGACGCTGAGGCTGAGGCAGGCTGAGGCTGAGGCAGGCTGAGGCTGAGGCCGAGGCAGGCTCAGGCCGAGACAGGCTGAGACTGAGGCTGAGGCTGAGGATGAGGCCGAGGCAGGCCGAAGCTGAGACAAGGTGAGGCTGAATGGGGGGGGGGGAAGGGGGGGGGAGGAGGAGGGGAGGCTGAGGCAGGCTGAGGCCGAGGCAGGCTGAGGCCGAGGCAGGCTGAGGCTGAGGCTGAGGAGCCGAGGCAGGCTGAGGCTGAGGCTGAGGCTGAGGCTGAGGCAGGCTGAGGCTGAGGCAGGCTGAGGCTGAGGCTGACGCAGGCTGAGGCTGAGGCAGGCTGAGGCTGAGGCTGAGGCTGAGACAGGCTGAGGCTGAGGCCGAGGCAGGCTGAGGCTGAGGCTGAGGCAAGCCGAGGCAGGCTGAGGCTGAGGCTGAAACTGAGGCAGGCTGAGGCATCCGTAGGATTCCATAGTGATCCTCATGAATCCCTAGGAATCCTTGGGAATCCGTAGGCATCCTTAGGAATCCGTAGGCATAGTTGAGCATTCTCAGGAATCCTTAGGAATCCTTAGGATTCCCTAGGAATCCTCAGGAATCCCCAGGAATCCAAACTAGTGACACATATGATTATTAGTGGTACTACGTGTATTAGTAAGCTTGTCAGTATCACCATCCGTATCATTCGCATTGTTATTTCCCTGATTAATAGTAGTGTCAATATTACCATTATGGTGACCAGTGTTCTGATCATGACTATAACCATTATCATTCATATTATTACTGATTGTGTTTATGACCATGATTGCTGATATTGCTATCTTTATGAAATACGAACACGTCCAATGATACATGATTACACCAGCATCAGTTTTCTAAAACTCTTTCGGGTTTCACGCATCGGCGCTCGACCCCCTGGCGGCGCCTCCGTCCCCGCCCCTGGCGCGCTGCTCGCGCAAAGGAAGTGGGGTGGGTTCAGCGCCGATCCAAGAAATCTTCGTGGTCCTCCGAAAGAATACCTATGTTTATGTGGTTGCGTGTTTCTCTAGTTCCCTTTGTTTTCGCCTGTCTGGGCATCCTGAGGGGCCCACCTCCTCATCGCAACGACCTTGACTCGCCTCGGAATCTTTGTCATAACGCGCACCAGGAGAGGTCTGGGGAGTCGTGGTATCGGTATCTCTCCCCTCCTCACCGCCCTCCCCCTCGGAAGGGTGGCCGCTGACGTCCAACTTGGCCCTTCGAGGTGCACTGCGATCGCGAGACGGTGGCAGGTTGGAGCTTCACGCAGGGTTACGAGGCCCACGTGGACCGATACAGGTCGTTGCGAG